TTCAGCTAATGTTGACAAGTACAGTCAACAGTAAGAAACAGAATTATATCATTATATGGTGAGGATCTTACCTGACACGTGTTTTCATCTAGTATCAATGGGTTTAGTCAATACTAAGGAACAAGAATCAATTCACCATATTTTAAGGATCCAACTTGAGGTATTGTTTTCAGCTAATGTTGACAAGTACAGTCAACAGTAAGAAACAGGAATTACATCACTATATAGTGAGGATCTTACCTGACACGTGTTTTCATCTAGTATCAATGGGTCTAGTCAATACTGAGGAACAAGAATCAATTCACCATATTTTAAGGATCCAACTTGAGGTATTGTTTTCAGCTAATGCGATCAGTAAGCAGAGGATATGTTGTACAAGTACAGGAATCATGAAAGTTGGTGATGTTATTTATAGTTACCACTTCTAGGTATAGATTAATCTGAGGAACAGAAACCATGATATATGATGAAGCAATCTTGTTTGTGTTAGTTATTACTGATATCCAAATGAGGAAGCCTCATACAAGCCATATTCAATGAGTGTGGCCGAATACTGAAGAAGAGAAAATCACGAAAAAAGGGTGGTAAAAGTCTTACCTGATACATGCCATATTCGGCGAGTGTGGCCGAGTACAGAGGATACTGAGGAATGGGAATCATGATACCAGGGGGCTTTCCACTTGCGGAGTGATTCAGAATATTAATAACAGTCTGGAATAAAAAAATTCAACAGTTTTTTTATAAAGGCTTTATTGAATCATGTAATAAGACAAATATGTGTATAGTTCTGTCCTCTATCCTTTTCACAACTATTTTCATTTAATTTGAAATATGCATCTAAGAACACAAAATAATAATGTGCACAAAGTAAGCAGTGTCCTGTAACTATTATAATTTAACTGGTGTATTAAAATAACTTCCTTGGCTGGTCAATCTGAACTCGGCAATGGCAACTTTGAATTTTAAGAATAAGCTACCATTTTACGAAATTTGGGAACATGAAATTTTGTCTTTGAATTATGTAAGTAAATTACCTGATCATAACCACTGGGCTTATAAACAACCATTCATGGATGCTTGATCTTGAAGCATGTGCATTTCATACCATCTTAATTAGTGCCATCATGTAAAATTGAAGTGTTGGTGTGCTACAAACACTTGTACACTGAGTGTGTCAATCAGTGATGAGAAAAGAAAAACAATTATTGCTGGAAACAGATACAGGCACTTTTCACTGGTCATATACACTTTTAAAAAAAGTTAGCACTAAAGTTGTCCTTGACCCTTCACTAACCGTAAGTGTACCCCCTTCCCAGCTTAACCAAAAGATGTCTCCCTCCTCCAACTTAAAAAGTAATTGGGTCCCCTACATTTATTTTCCAATAATTGTAGTTACGATTCTAGAGCTGCAGGAGCATACTTACACCACTGGTGACAGTTGGTTTTAGTATGATCATACAAACGTATAATTTCATCGTGTGTCATATTACGTCACTTTATTACCCATATTACACGTTGACATATCACAATCCAAGTTTCAGAAGGCCTAACAATGAAAAGTCTCTTCTGTTTTGTTTCTTATATTTTATATTTGTCTAGTTTTTGTTTATGTTTTGGAAACCTTTAATAGGATTTATAAATCATACTTTATACAAGCACTTATCATTTTTTAACATTCCTTCAGCAACAGATTATTTTGTTGATACTAAACATTTATTGTCAAAAATAAATATTCATCTGTTGTACTAGATTATAAATGTGTTTAAAATTTACTATCAAACTGGCAATTTACTATTCAAATAAAATAGATAAACAGTTTAAACACATTTTAGGCCTGCCACTACATTCTAGGCAACAATCAGAGCTAACAGAGGAATCCAGTATAAAATATAGGACAACAGGAAACAATCAGAGCTAACAGGGGAAACCAGAAATAATATAGGACAACAGGCAACAATCAGGGCTAACATGTGTATCCAGTAAAAAATATAGGACAATAGGCAACAATCAGAGCTAACATGTGAATCCAGTACAAAAGATAGGACAATAGGCAACAATCTTAGCTAACAGGGAAATCTAATAAAAAATATAGGACAACAGGCAAGAATCAGGGCTAACAGGATAATCCAGTACAAAATGTAGGACAATAGGCAACAATCTTAGCTAACACGGGAATCATCAATAACCATGACTGTAATTAGATCTCAAATGAGTCAAGAGATGGAGCTATGAGCTAAAAGTTTGTACTTGAAAAATAAACTCAGAACCATCCTTTGGGCTGCTTTGCCACAGCTACTAATGCCTGGATACCTTACTCAGTTATGTTTTCAAATGAAAACTATTAATTGCCATTTATTAAAAGCATATATTTGGATAACCTATACATCTAGGTCAGCTCTGAATGCATTATGTATAATATGAAGGTTTCGGAGGATGAAAGGGAGAAAACTTTCACAGACATCTTCTTTCAGGGAATTACTGACCTCATTACAATTAGTTCTGTTGACACTTGGGTCATCACTTGATATGCTTCAAAGAAACCTCAGAGGGACGACTGTTTCTACTCTTAAGGAAATCCATGATTTTTTTTTCTGACATTTGCTTTCGTTTGGCATGATGAAATGAAGGTATCCCTCGGTTTTGTGTTTTTGTCAAATATTTAATAAGCACATCCAACTCCTTCACCTCTTGATCGGTGGTGGTTTTTATCATCCAATATGGTATGTTCTAAAACACTTTTCTTTAGGTCATCCACCAGTTTCTTTAAAGGTGAGGTCATAGGTCATCTGAGATGATATATGAATCCTCTGTTGACCACAATCCAAAACTGTTGGCAATAGAGCACCTGAACACACTACATAAAATGTGACCAATTATATTAAGCAATCAAAAAATGCCTTGCTTACAACATTTACTGCTTCACTGTTTTGGTTTCTTTAACTTCTGTTACCAGGTTTGTTTGGAGATGAATAATTTGTCTATAGTCACGACTTTGAAATATAGAGGCAAAGGAAGCTATTTGTGATTGTTTAGTTACTAAGCCTTTTGACGATGCTCAAATACATGTAATTTCAAACTCAAAAGACAGAAGTCTTTCCAAATCAAAACCATGAATTTAAGCAGTTTCATAAACAAAAATCAAACCAAACTTGAAAAAACCCTTTTAACCCACCCCTACTCAGTTTTTCTTCATTGGATTTATCTGGAATTTATCATAGTTTCACATAGTCCCATTTACCTTTCATTTCGGGATCAAACTGATATCCTACAACAAGCCAAGTTATGCATGCTTCATGTCCTGTTAGCACCTTCTGACCTCATGCCTATAGCTCTGGAATGTAAGCTTAAAACCACAAAGACAACAATACCTGAGAAAAAATATCCAGTTTGTACTAAAGGGTAGTAATTACTCATAGTTTGAAACCAAGAAATTTAGTGTCATAAGAAGCACTGTGACATGAATAAGTACTTGATATACAGTATAATTTATTAACAAAAACATTTGGTAAGAATATGGGGAAAAATGATCAAATATAGCAATTTACACAGAAAATGAGTTATTTCAGGTCAAAATATTGGAATATTGGGTGAGCTTGAAAAATATAGAGATTACAGAGCAGGCTCAACCTCTTCAAAAACACAGCTACCAATGAGGGTACCCAACTGATGATCTAGGGTTAATTGTAATCATTATTGTAGAATGTTTAGCAGCTCTTCTGGTAAAACTTATTACATAAAGAGTAATTGTAAATTTCTCATTATAAATTGATTGGCTGCATGGACATAAAGTGCATTCAATGGAGCAGAGCTTTTGTAAGTACAGAAAACAACAAAATCTGTGGAAAACTGTGTTGAAACTTCCAACGAATTAGGAATTCCATATGCTCGACATTCCCTGCAATTATAAAATATCAACAGACAGCCGCTTCAAATCAAGTCAGGTCATTTTCCCCATATCTGTCGCATCACCATCCCATTTATAAAATTTTTGGTTTTGCTGTTATTTATGACATCTGGCAACTGTTGAAATTATATTACTATTCTATTTTATATTTCGTGACATGTAGCTCATTTTAAGCCTTTTTTTCAGAAAACAAAAGAAGAGGTAAACCTACATGTACATGAAGTATAATTTGAAACATTCTTATTACTTACTCTAACACCTTCACTTGCCCCCGTAGACAAAATGCAGTTAAGGTAGTCCGAGGGTACACCATCACGCTTTTCAATGTAAGCAGCTATGTGCTTTCTAATTATTTCAATACCTGCACTGTCACTGTATGACCCTGGAAAACACAAGCAATTAAATCTTCATTTTGTGAACTTTACACATATGTATTTCATAACACAAAACAACCTTAATTGTTAATTTTGTAATGTGAAATTTATAGAATATTTTTTAACATCCTTCATATCAGAATCTTTGGCTTTAAGAATTACCATAAAAGTATTACAATTTATTAAACAAATGAGATTTGGAATAAGTTTTGTTTTATTGAATATTTCAACTAATAACCACTGAACATATTTTTCTATACAGGAGACTCACTACTTAATTCTTTATAAGCTGACAACTGAATATGGTTGAAAGTTAGCATTTTTCTTCACTGAAAATGTATTTTTGATAGATACATACCTCCACTCACAAAATAACTTTTCTCGACTATCACTTCTCTCTATTGGTGCAAATTTTCAATGTACACCACTGGCCTTCCACCTCCTGCTTCTGCATATCCACATGCAGCAGCTCTCCACCCATAAGAGCATGACACCACTCTCATTGTAACCAGCGTCCTCTTCGCTTGTTAATCACTCCGGATTGCTTCTGCATATCCACATGCAGCAGCTCTCCACCCATAAGAGCATGACACCACTCTCATTGTAACCAGCATCCTCTTCGCTTGTTAATCAATCCGAGATTGGTCAGAAGACCTACACCACATATCATTGGAAGTGGGGAGGCTGGGTGGGAAATGCGAGAAGTAAGTATCTATTAAAAATACATTTTCAGTGTAGGATATGCTAACTTCTGATACAATATCTTAACTCCTCCTAGAAAATAGCTAGAATCCCACACTGAACTGGTGGAGGGCCAGTCAAAAAAATGATCCCCATTTAGGAAGTGCCAAAAGAATGCGAGAAGTAAGTATCTATTAAAAATACATTTTCAGTGTAGGATATGCTAACTTCTGATACAATATCTTAACTCCTCCTAGAAAATAGCTAGAATCCCACACTGAACTGGTGGAGGGCCGCTAAAAAAAATGATCCCGATTTAGGAAGTGCCAAAAGAGAGACCAGGGGGTGTGGAGCAAAAAAGAGAAAACCTCACACCTCAGCAGGAGACCACACCACATCTGATCCAGGGTATACTCTTCTATGACAGTGTTGCAAACATTAAAGGCAGAAAAACAGGACGGAATCCCAGAATATGTATGATCAATGATTGGGACTTCTTGGTGTTGAGTGGCTAGAGTGCGATAGACCGTAGTGGTAGTTCGACCTCACCTAATACTGGGCAGCATCTGGAATGGTATATCAGATCCCCATTTAGGAAGTGCCCAAAGAGAGACCAGGAGGTGTGGAATAAAAAAGAGAAAATATCACACCTCAGCAGGAGACCACACCACATCTGATTCAGGTATACTCTTTTCTATGACAGTGTTGCAAACATAAAAGGCAGAAAAACAGGAAGGAATCCCAGAATATGTATGACCAATGAATGGGACTTCTGGGTGTTGAGTAGCTAGGGGTGCGACAGACCGTAGTGGTAGTTACACCTCACCCAACACTGGGCGGTATCTGGAATGGTACATCAGATCCGTGGTAGGTAGAGAATCATCTACCTCTTCATCTCAAAACAGGAATTGGTAGGGAAGATGAGCTTCCATACCAAAATCCTTCTGCTCTTGCAAGCACTTCCAACACAATCAACACCAGATCTGCCATGAACCAATATCCAGATGGTAGGAAGGTGGAATGCCCTGGCAGGATGACATCTCTAGTTCAAAACCTGATGGCAATGTGTTTAGTACTTCCGGCCATACACAAGTGGGAAAACTTGCTGTGTTCTGCTACAGTCAACACCAGATCTGCCAGGAACTGACATCTAGCAGACAGGTAAGAAGAGAGACTGCAAACCAGGGGTGCATTTCCATCCCAAAACCTGGTGGCAGTGGGCATTTGACATCCAGTCCACATTAGGAGGAGGGATACTAGCCAGCACACATGTAAGGACTTATGTAGCCAGACCATCATCAACCAACACCGGACCCACCGGAATGTACATCCAGAGAATGGTAGGGAGGAGGAACGTCTCAGCCTGAGGGGCAAACTGGAATAATATATATATATATATTTATATATTCGTGATGTAGAACCAAAACTTGGAGGCATCTGGAATTGTACAACAGGTCTGCAGTAGGAAGGGCATCACACCATCTGCACATGATAATAATTGTGACCAGGCCATCTCCAATTAAATCCAGACTCACCAGGAATGTACATTTGGAGGATGGTAGGAAAGAGGAATGCCACAGTAGGAAAAAACAATTGGTCAGATATATAGACAGGAATACAGCGTAGTGCTACAACCAAAACCCATGGCATCTGGAATTGTACATCTGGTCCACAGTAGGAAGTGTGATATGCCAGTGACACCTGCAGAATGCCATCACCCTACTTTCACTCAGAAGGACTGGCCTCCATGGTCCACCACTCCAGTGGTTAGGAACTGGTAAGTGGTAAGGACTTCCATACTTCAATAGAAGAAAGGGGGGAAAATGCATTGAAGAGTCTGAAGGACTGCATCACTAGAGACAGTGCAACAGGTGACTGAAACACCCTATCTTGAAAAGCAGAACTACCATTTCGACAGAGTCAATTAACCAAAACCTGGTGGCACCTGGAATTGTATATCAGGTCCGCAGTAGGAATAGTGTCAACACCGCAGAGCATTAGAGATGGGCAGCAATCTCTGTCTGCTTTATTCATGTTGGTCTAAGAGCGTACAGTCCAGGACGAACATGTTTAGGAAGCAAAAGGCCACTAGAGGGAACTACTAGCAGTCCTATGGAACACCCATCTGTATGGTGTACATAACCCAAACCTGTGACATAACTGTTTAGTCATAGATAACAATAAAATGGAGACACACAACCAGCATCTGGAATTGTACATCAAGGTTACAATGTAATTGACATTGAGCATGGTTGCAGGATGGACAGTGCAGATTTTCCAAAAAAAAAACTATACCTGGTCAGGCACCACCTGCCACAGATTGGGATCAACAATACAATAGACAAAAGGCCCCTGCAAAAGTAAGAAAATTGTGAAAAAAAAGTAACCTTTCATAATAACAAAATGAAAAAATTTATATAAATAGTCAAGAAAAACTAAATCAGTAGTATAACAAAAACCAGCAACAAATACACATGCAAAAACCAGCACGTCTGTACAGTACTACTGCTAATCAAGAAGTGATTAACAGGAGCAAATGTGAAGAGGGCACTATATACAATGGGAGTGGTGTCACACTCCTATTGGTGGAGAGCTGCTGCATGATAATTTGTATCTGGATATGTGCCAACAGAGGGCAGTGCTAGTTGAGAAAAGCCATGTTGTGAGATGAGGTAAGATATCATATCAGAACTTTAGGTTTTGTTTTGTGCTCTTTTTTATTGAAGTTTAATGAAAATAAGATCTGCCTGAAGCAAAACACAGCTTGCCATCCACGTTAAAGAAAATGAAAAATTAGTAATTTTAAAAATTTATAATCCATTTATAGATTTACACACATACACACAAGAAAGGTTGATTTTTTTTTCATCTAGGAATTTAGTACATTAGGATGAACTGAACAAAAACAGAAAGTCAGGCATAAAGTTCAAGCATGCTAAACTGACTAAACTGTTTTGGATTACATTTCTTATAAAGAAAATAAGTAAAACTACATAAATATATTATTTGCTGTATAGATGTAAACCATGAATGATTTTCATTTTAAAGTTTAATTTCATGAGAAGAAAAGTTTAAAGAAATTTGAATTCTTCAGCCATATTTGACATGATTCATCTGTTTTAAAGATTTAAATATTACTATATTAATTTCAAATGTAAAAAGAATACCACTTATATACAATATTCTTTATTATAAAAGTTAGTGAAATTATAAATAAACATTATAGTCTTTTATAAAAACTTCTAAGAATTTCCTCTCCAGTTCATTGAATTTTCTAAACCAGCTGCATACCCGCTGAACTCATCAAGACATGCTGCCCCAACCGGAAAATTAAATAAACAAATACTTTATACATATTAAACTTTTATTGAAGAAGAAAACATATTTAGATGAGCTGTAATGCGACTAATAAATTTGTTAATAACTTTTGGTAAATCCAATTCATCCACATCGTTTTTCAGGATATAAGAGACAAGCAAGATGATTCATGCAAGACATGGTGAGGCACAAGTAACTGTTCAGCTTCCTTAGGGCAGAAAACAATCCTTCAACAGTACATGTAGTCAGTGGAGTCACCATATAGATTTTGAGCAGGGTGAAAACTGATGGACAAACATTCTTATGCACAGGATTTTTGCACATTGCTTCACAAAAATAATCCAGGAAATCTTTGATGAATCTGGAAAGTTCATGGCGATGACACTGTGCACATGTTCAATTTCATATTTCACACAGTCCTTTGATTTTAATTGCATCGGGTCATCTTGATAAATGTTGTACATTTCATCAATATCAGTTGCAGATTGCTCGCATAGAGATTTCTCAATCACTGCTAGTTTATGCATATCATCTGTAGGATATCTCACAGAAACTGACTTAACAGCAGCTTCAAACACCGATTGGTATATACTTAAAAATTCAGCTTATACAGTTTGTGCCATGTTTGCACCTCTGTGCAATGCCTACAGAATTAAAAGTGGATAAAAGGGATTTGTAAAACTGTGTTGCAATGCGAGCATCATTAGCATCCTGCAGAAGAGTAGCCATGCCTTCACTTTTTTGAGCAGACAAACTGTATTGAAACTTTAGGTGACTGTATTAGAATGTGCACTGGCTGAGTTATTGTGAAAAGCTATTCCAACAGCTTCAGACAAAAAAAAAGCTGAACTTCTGCATGCTATTAATAAACCCACGAGCTTGCACAGGTCTCCTCTAATCAATCCAACAAACTGCCATAATGAGCTACAAATGACATCACAGCATTGCGTTGCAAAACCCAGCATGATGGATACAGAGGTCGTAAAGTGACATCATCCAATGTAAAGGCTTCATATGATGTCTTTCTATGAGGGGAGTATTTAACAGAATTTCCTGTGATTCCACCAAATACAAATGAGAATTTACAGTATCGTGGACTATCAAGTTCAGTCCGTAACCAGACCAGTAGCTGAAGGTGCATTTTGGATGTTCATTTAAAATTTGTGTTGTTACTCCACTTTTTGACCTTTCATCGTATTGGCTCCATCATATCTCTCTGCACGAACTTGATTAATAGCTAATCCATATGATAATAGTCCTTGTTTTATTGTATTTGCAATGTTTTCAGCTGTTGCATTACTGAGAACAAAGAATGCTATCCATTCCTCACACACACAAGCTTAATTGCTCCTGATATGTAGAATCACAAACTTCATCACAAATGATGCCAAAAAAATGGTTGTTGTTAGCAGCTTCCATAACATTATGCAGTACATTGATTTCATTCTGTGAGACCAAACTGCAGTATATATTATGGACATGTGAAGTAAAATGTGTGTTAAATTTGGGGTTGTGCTTTGATACCAATTATCAACAATTCCATGAGCCTCAGTGCTCCTGTATACCAAACCTTGCTTTCCCAAATATATAATAGCATCAAAAATCACCTCAAGTACTTTCCTATTTGCCTTCTATCTTTCAACTTCTTTGCTGCTAACATACTTTGCCATTGTTTCTTGATATTGATTATTGTAGTCATTCATTCTCTATGACTCTGACTTCTGTCATGCTTTTGTAGATCATCCTTGACTTTCTAAAATAATTCTATCCTATTACTCATGGAGATGTGGAGACTAGGAAATGCTGTGATGGAAGTAAGAGATAACCTTACATGACCCATGTACATATACGGTAAATTATATCATTCCTATCACAACTATAATCAACCCATCAGAAAATGGTTTAACAACTTTCAATGAAAGTTTGGCTTTTTTGCGCTAATTTTTTGTTACTAAATGTGGATGTTTATTCTGCACATTGTGATGTTAATTCTAACAGGTTTGTTATTATAGAACTCAAAGTTGTTTCTGCACATGGCATCAATACTCGTGGGTTTATTGTTACTGAGCTGGATGTTGTTTCTGCACCAATACTGGTGGGTTTATTGTTACTGAACTGGATGTTGTTTTTGCACCAATACTCGTGGGTTTATTGTTACTGAGCTGGATGTTGTTTCTGCACCAATACTGGTGGGTTTATTGTTACTGAACTGGATGTTGTTTCTGTACCAATACTGGTGGGTTTATTGTTACTGAACTGGATGTTGTTTCAGCACCAATACTGGTGGGTTTATTGTTACTGAACTGGATGTTGTTTCTGTACCAATACTGGTGGGTTTATTGTTACTGAACTGGATGTTGTTTTTGCACCAATACTGGTGGGTTTATTGTTACTGAACTCAACGTTGTTTCTGCACCAATACTGGTGGGTTTATTGTTACTGAACTCAATGTTGTTTCTGCACCAATACTGGTGGGTTTATTGTTACTGAACTCAATGTTATTTCTGCACATGATGCCAATCTTACTGATACTACTGACTTTAGAAATGCCATTAAAACTGCCTGTGAAGTTTCACGGTTCTTTGGAGGATCCATTTATCTAAAAAAAAAAAAACTAGACAAAAATATTGGCAACATTTTGCGTTGTGGATAATTTAAGAAATGGTATATACATAAAGCTATAAAATAATTATTAGGTTTGACACACGTCTCGGTAGGACTAAGCCTTATAGTAGGTATATAGTTGAACTCTATTTTTAGTACAGTTTGTAAATTGCTAAAAAATACAGTGGTAATTATTAACTGTGATTTAATATCCTACATGGTACCTATAAGTCCTTGCACTTTTCTTTAACATTTCTAGCCAATAACGTTGTGATTTAATATCCTACATGGTACCTATAAGTCCTTGCACTTTTCCTTAACATTTCTAGCCAATAATGTTTTCTGGTGTGGTCTTGGAGTGTTTTCAACCGCTATTGTAATAAATATTGAAAAAAAGATGGACAGAGCACAAGCAAATTTAGGAGTATAAAAACAAAAATAAATATTTTTTACACAAGTGAAGTTACCAAACATCGAGCAACTTTTTCTTTTTGGATTTGAAATCTTTCCTTTGTAACAACTTTGTTTTTTGTTCATGTTTGATTTTAGTTTTATAAGTCAACTTTCTTACTTTACTATATCGTGCACTGCTGAATTGCCCGAGCAATTTGCATTTAGAATAATTTAGTTAAACATTAGTTGAGTTTATGTTTTAAACCAGTTTTTTTTTTATAAGTTCTTTACTCACTTCAGTTCTGAACTCCATACATGGGATTGTATACTGTTCTACTTGTAACAATGACAAATATATAAGAGTTGTGTTATCAAACTTTGTGCTAGTTACAACTTAAGCCTAACATACACTATTGTATTATTCTCGCATACATTGAATGCACAAAAAATAAATTTAAAATAAAAACTGATTTGATACTCAATTATTTCTGGATTTTTTTGGCTACTTTGGTATTCACAATTATTTTTTTTTTCAGCAGTGGTATAAGATTGTATACATATATTTTATAATTTATAATTAAAACTATTGTGTGATAAACTTGGAGGAATTAGAAAACAGGAGTATGGATCACATTTACAGTACTAAAATATCTAAATAAATAACACAAGGTAATTTCAAATTTTTCTCTCTTCTCACACTTTTAATATCAGCTCACCAATGCTGGATTTCTTGTTTAGTTCAGGTGCTAAGTTCTTTATGGCTAATGTTTCTTTTAACCTTAGCCACTGCTCATTTTCAGCCTTTCCAATAATTTGGAATTATTAAATTTCTACATTTACATTCACGCATTCTTCTTTATGTTGAAAATTTAGGCTGAAAATTAACAGTGGCTATGGTTGATATTTGTTGATTACTATTTATTCAAATCAAAATAATAAAATTAATCATGTAATAAACCTAGATTTTAAAAAAGAAATATCAATAGTTGTACACTGTCTTGGGTGATAAATAATGTTAAGTTTGCACACTAGTTAGTGATCAGAATAATCTTAAGCCAATCAGGAGAAGTTTTATACAAATATCTAAGTTACTCAGGAAGAAAATATTTACAATTTTCTCAAAAACTAGACTACCTAAGCACAGATAAGTAGTATTTCTAGTGTGGAATATAACACTTTGTTAAATATTACCTACATTGGCACATGGGTAATTTTTTAACTTATGAAAATATTTTTGGGGTTAACCCTTGCTGCACCCCCAGGCTTAGAAAAAGTTAAGTGGCTATGAACTAACATAAGTTTTATAGAACACTTATTTGTTTGATTTAGTGCAACAAAAATTCTGAATGTAGTTGACAGATTAATTCAATTGAAATTCTTTATTCTATGGCATTAAAATTTCTAAATCACAACTTTGACAGAAATGAATAAAAACCCTATAACCCAAGCACTTTTGAAAGGTGGACCGTTCTTCTTCAGGGGCAACCGCTTGGGTTATAGGGTTTTTATTTATTTCTACCAAGACGTCTTGAACCTACGTGTTTCTCTAAAATCATGAATAACTCGCAACTTTGGTGTACGCCCACAGAGAAAATAAAGTAATAAATATTTTCTGGGTAAAGAGAATGGGAGACAAGTTTAAATAAACTATAATTCTACAATAATAAAGCTTTCCAACATACCAACACTTTTCCCACCACAGTATGAAAGAATTAACTTAGCTCGTTCCTTGACATCAGAGGGAAATCGGTCATCCTTTATAAGATCTGGATAAGCACAAAGGGTCAAAACCTGTAAAAACATAAGAAGATATTGAAATATATTGTATGCAACATATAACAATTGTGTTCTACCAGTGAAATGAAGGAAATAGTGTAACAGGGAGGTTATCTTAACCTCATATTTACTGTAAACTACAATCACAATAAATATAAGTATCGTATGAGTTTTAGTTTAGTTTGAACTTTTCACAAAAGTACTTAAGGACTATCTTTGCTAGTCGTCCTTAATTTAGCAATGAAAGAGTAGAAGGAAGGCAGCTTGTCAACACTACCCACTGCCAACTCTTAAGCTACTCATTTACCAACAAACAGTGGAATTCACAATCACATAATGCCCCCATGACTGAAAGGGATTCAAACCTGCAACCCGCAGATTGAAAGTTGAGCTCTGTAATAATATGGAATAATGTGTTTATTAAAATGAAACAGAAAATTAACCAGGCTAACATAATTAGCTACAAATATATTTAATGGATTTTTTTTAAAGCAAACACTAAATTAATCCTGAAAATTGAGAGTCATATGTTGAATCCATTAGACATCATGTTCAGCCAATGCTACAATGCTAAAACAAAAATTAACGGAGTTCTAAACTTCTTAGTTTAGTTGGACATTATTAATCTACCATAAAAAATTATGGATAAAGATAACTATATTTATTTCACTTTCAAATTATGCTATCATTGTAAAAACCAAAAATACAAATAGCACAATAACTAAGTATAGCCTTCAGTTCAACAACAGTGAACTAAATTATCATTTAAAAACATTTGTTATCACTTTCCTTAACTGTAATGGACAGCATCCATCTGTATAAAACCACTACAGGTTCACTGTATTACTGTATAAAACCACTACAGGTTCACTGTATTACTGTATAAAACCACTACAGGTTCATTGTTTTACTGTTAATACAGTGAACCTGTAGTGGTTCAATGTAGCATGTCTGTTTAGCTTGATGTATCAAACAGTGCTAAAGTAAGAATACTCATAATACATCAAAGCAAAGAATAATTATATAATTACTTGACCTGTTCTATAAAGAATTGCCTATCCCAAATTGTTTCCACTGGAAAACACTTTGCAAACAAACTTTTAACATGTAAACGTTAATAACCTATAGTTCGTTGTCATGTTTACCCATTTTGTGCTCTTGCACAACTCTTTACAAAACACTTCCAAAATGAAATTCAAACAAAATCTTGGCATAAATTTATCGATCCTCCACGAGTACTAACGTTTCAATGAAATAAAAGGCTTCATTAATAAGTAGCTAGCATATGACATTATGACAGCCTCTGAACTTGTTAGATTCCAGGTGAAAAAAGTAATTTTAGAAATGTCTATTGACACTAGTTTGGTAATTAGTGGTAGTTAATAACTGATTAACCAATGGGCTAACTAATCAATTACATGCCCCTACAACCCCTCCACAAACAAGGAAAAAAACAAAAAATAGGTGTGTGCTACCTTTGTAATTATTTCAACCAATGCATGCTACATTATACTGACATGGTATTAATACCATTTTTAAGTAATTCTTGAATTACTCTAGGTTTCATATGATAAGCCTTTTTTGAAGGTCATCATTTATGTATTTTCTGTAAAACAAAATTGCTGTCAAAAAACATTTTGCAACAAATTTTTTTAAGATAATCTGGACATTTCCTAATTGGCTAATGCTAATGCCAACTCAGTTTTACCGTACATCTGCTAATATGTTTGTTTTCAAAATATGTAGTAACTGTCCACTGATATTCTTCTGTAGATCAAATGAACCAACAATAATGAAAACATATCTTGATTACAATTAGAAATAATTAAGCAGCCAGTTACAAATTCATTTATGTTTTTTGAATAAGAGACATAAAAATCAATATTCAATAAAAATTCAAGTTGTCATAATATTATGCAATCACCCACCATACTCACTATACAGTTAACTTATTTGAATTAATGATTTTTTTTTTTTTGGTGAACATAATAAAAATCCTTCATTTATACAAACTGAAATTCAATAAATTTACAGTACATACATAAGAAATGTAAACAAATACCACAATATTAAACAAATGACCATGTATATTGTTTGTTTTGAATTTCGTGCAAAGCTACACGAGGGCTATCTGCACTAGCCATCCCTAGCAGTGTAAGACTAGAGGGAAGGCAGCTAGTCATCACCACCCACTGCAAACTTTTGGGCTACTCTTTTACCAATGAATAGTGGGATTGAATGTCACATTATAATGCCCCCATGGCTGAAAGGGCGAGCATGTTTGGTGGGATGGGGATCCAAACCCGTGATCCCCAGAATATGAGTCGAGCGCCCTAACCACCTAACCATGCCGGGCCAACATGTATATATATATTAAGCTACTAATACTTGATGACGGCAAAACCTTTTAAAAAAAACTGTACATCTGTTACTGTATTAAACTTGTAAGTTTTCTTTGTTACCCATTCAAACTGTATAAGCTTACCTTATCTCAAGCTACCTGATAAATAATTTCCCAATTCACAATTGAATCATTTATATAAACTATAAAAAAAAAACTTAAACTTTTACATTTAATCTATTTTGTATTAAACTTTCTGTAAAGGTGTTTTCAAAGCTGTGTTTTATTTAGTAAATGATAAAACCACTTGATGTGGCACTATAACAAAGTTTCAATCAATGTGTGCACAAAACAAATTAAAGAAAACACTTGAAAATCAATAAACAGATAATATATTCTCAAAGAATGATAGGTTTTCCAAAAAGATAGTTATTCTTTGAGAATGGTAGAAAAATTACAAAAGAATTAACCAATGAGTTGTCTTGTTCACAGACAAAATACTTTACAGCTGTGCAGAAATGAAAATATGAATGTTTTATTTTGCTTTATGAATTACACTAAACAGATGTCAGGAAATATCTATTACAAAATATTTTTCAGTTAAAAGTGCTGCAATACAGTTAGAATTTACAAATAAACTTTCAAATTTGTCTCAAAATGTTTTATTAAATGGAGAAAAAATATGAAATACAAGAAAAAAATTCTGTCTTTAGACTACAGGCACAACAATTTAGAATTAAGTTACTTTTTTAATCCTAAACTTTGTACATCAAAATGTATTATACACTTAATCAAACTGCACTGTTTAACATTGACAAAATAAATGATTTTTTTCACTTCTCAGTCACCTGTTGCAACAATACACCTTTCCAACTTGTTATTCTAAACAGTCAAGTCCTGTTTTACAAGTTCATAAACCTGTTTTAAAACAATGTTAAAGCCTTATGTGTTGTAGCTATGACTCTATGACGGGGCAGTTACTCAATGCTTTGTAACCAATCATGAGAAACAAACAACGTGACTCATTTCATTTATTATGTAAACGTGTACTTAGCCAAAGCAACAAATCTAGTACTTTTGTATATTCTTCAAGCAGCTTAAATTTTAAGTGAAACAACATAAAAATTAGAATAACTTCAACTTATTCTGTAAAACAAAACTTTTGATAGTTATAACATTAGTTTACAAAGTTGGAAAACCATTGCAGAATGAAGTAAAATTTAAATAGAAAGTCTACTGAGATAATATAGTATTATAGTGTTAAAAGTAATAATGTTGAACTTTTCCACATTAACTGGAATAATGTTTTATTTCTACAATGATGATATGATACCAGTTAACTGTTTTATAGTTCACTGGGTAACAATGTAACTAAATTTCCAATAGTTTTTACAAGAAAGAAGATATTTCCACAATAATAACATCAGAGAAATGATGATAAACATTATCCATCATTCAAGTGAAATTGCAACCTTTTAGGTCATATACTGGGGTAATTTTGTTATAAAATTTCACAAGTTTAACCAAACAATCAATTTGACATTTTAACTGTTAAAAACAAACATATTTTCTGTTCAGATTACTGGGCCTTTGGAGTAATGGGTTCTCAGACTTATGAACTGTTACTAAAAAATATCTTTCTCAAGAGAATTTAAACTTCTAAATAATGAAAAATCAATTCTGTAACTAGTTTATGTATATAAGGGCTGCAGGCAAGGGCACCCGCAGAAAATTAATTAGGGGGGGGGGGGTCAAGTAACTGAAGTTTGAAAAAATGATGAAATCTAAGTACAAATACCTTATGATCTTCTACTAACATAGAAGAATAAATGTACATATCTAGTAATGTTTTTTCCTTTTTGAATTTGTTCTTATTTGTCCTTTTTTATTTGTTCTTATAAAAGAACAAATAAAATAATTAATATTTGTAAAAATAGAACTCTACCCTAAATCTGTGCCTACTTATAAAAAAACAACATAAAATAATTAAGATTTGTAAAAATTGAACTCTCCCCTAAATCTGTGCCTACTTATAAAAGAACAACATAAAATAATTAAGATTTGTAAAAATAGAACTCTCCCCTAAATCTGTGCCTACTTATAAAAGAACAACATAAAATAATTAAGATTTGTAAAAATAGAACTCTCCCCTAAATCTGTGCCTACTTATACAACATTAGAGAATATGGTTACACAGTTATAAGTTAAAGATAGCTTTTATATGCAGAAACATCTGTTAGCTGAGTTCTTGCACAGATCTTGAAAGTCGAGTTGTTCAAAACTTGAAAATAGCATTGATAACTGGACCAATTGTTGGCTGAGATGTTGCAAAGGAAATAACTGCTGAAGCTTTTCGCCAGACACTAATCATAGCAGAACCGTCTGAAAAATGATCTATAGAAAATAGTACAGCTTATTAAATGAGTCAGATCAACATAGGCTGGTAAGGCAATCACTGATTGGCAAGTCTTTAAGTCAATCAGGAAATGTCACAGACCTACTGAAGGATGTGTAGATTGTATAGGAATTCTTTTTCAAGTCCGGTTCACTAGTAAATGCTGGCCAATCGCCAATTCACATTTTGGTGGTAGAACTTTTGTTCTACAGGAACGACACGGTAAATTCTTTTCTTTCACACTCTTATTTCTTATGGATGTGGGTACACGTTGTTTAATTCTATCCTGCAGTCTTGGTGAAGTGCGACCTACGTACCGACATTCTCAGTGGCACAAGAATTAATAAATAACCATACTTTTCTGTGTGGTAGGTATCGCATCTTTGTGTGTTACAAGCAAC